TCCGCGCCCCCCCCCCCCCCCGCCCCCTGGCTCCGTGTCGGCGTTAGCGCTGTCCTCTCCCCCTCGCCGTTGCCCTTGCCCGGCCCCGACCGTCGGCGCTCGCTGCCGCCAGACGACGTGGCCGAGGTGCTGCGCTTCGTGCGCTGCTACGGTGACCGGCCGTGCTGCTTCTCGGACGTGGAGCCGGCGCTGCCGCTGGTGCGGCCCGACCAGGTGCCGCTGCTGCTGGACAGCTCTCGAGCCATGGTCGAGCTGGACGACAGCCACGTGCCAGTCACGGTCAGTGGCGGGCGCTGTCCGCGGGCCCAGGGCTGGCTGTCTCAGGCCGCGGCCACTAGTGGGCCTCAGGCCACCGGCTCACCGGTAATTAAACGCTGGATTGTTTTCCAGCCGTTTAATCTTCTAGAATGTCCCGAAATTCATATTTTCCTTAACTGTAGCCGGTATGTGACAGATGATTGCGACTTGGCTCATTTCATGTTCAACACAATAAGTGGAGTATGCTCAAGATTATCAGCCGTTGTGTCGTTGCCGACAACCACGACGCATTTACATTCATCAGGTTTTTCTACATTGAAGGCCCCAAAAGGCGTGGATTTCTGGGCATGCCTTGGCGGGTGGATCATAGCACCTCGCCTGTCGGTTCACGCTTTCCCCGGCCAGCTGTCAGCGGTCGCCATTCGACTGACTGGATTATCGATTCGGCGGCACTTCCATGGTCCTGCAAGCCACAGAGCCTGCTTGGCCTGTTCAAACTAATTTCTGTGACGCTCTATGGTGGCCCGTTCTTGTGACACTTGACTCATGGTCGGTTTCGCATTCTGACCTGACCTGACCTGGCCCTGCCCGACCCGGCAGACGGCGCACCTACAGCGCCACCTGACCTGGCTGCAGCTGTGCCAGCACTACAGCGGCACCAGCCAGCTGGGTGAGACGCGGCTGGCGCGCGTGGCCGAGCTGTGCCGCTACCACCAGGGCACGGCTCGCTTCAGCGACGGGCTGCTCGACACGGAGCTCAGGTGCGCATGCTCTCGGCAGCGGTGGCTAGCGGATAGCTGCTGGGGCGGGGGAGGGGTCCAACGCTCACAGAGTCCCACAGGAGCTGCTGTGCGCAGCCCAGTCAGACGCGGTCAAGGTTCTGTCCACGGGTCTGAGGAGGGATGTCAGCCTTGTCCTGAGCGACGGACTGGGCTGAGGCGCGTCGATAAGGCGGGTCTGTGGAGGGATGTCAGCCTTGTCCTGAGCGACGGACTGGGCTGAGGCGCGTCGATAAGGCGGGTCATGCGGACGGTCTTTTTGTGCCGAACCGCTGTGGCACACGTGACATGCTACGGCGTTGAGGGACGCGGGCCGACCTTCTCCACGTGTCGCGTTCAGTGGCGCCTGTGTGGGCGGCCGGACGCCGTGCCTCGATGCCTTTAGCGGGCGGCGCACAAGTGTGACTGGCTCCGCGCGCCGCCGCAGGCCCAACGACCACTACCTGACGCTGGCCGTCTACTGCCTGTACGACGAGTGGATGGCCACGGACGAGGTACACCACCTGCTGCACGCGCTGACGCTGCTCCAGCACGGCATCGCGCTCTCGCCGGCCAACTTCTACTTCAAGCTGGCCGCCATCCACATCTACCACCTGCTGGGTGAGCGAGACGGCGCGCGCTGCAGCCGCGCTGGGCACGGTAGAGGAAAGGGTGGGCTCGGGTGCGACACTGCCGGTGGCAGACGGTACATGAGGGACGTGTGCATGACCAGCCTCAGTGTTTGCTGTGTGAAACTGATGGCCGAGCTGGGCTAAGCGGCGGGGCGAGACTTCGGCCGCGCCGACAGCCAGTTCGCCGGACCACCGGGCAGACAGGGAGCGCAGGGCAGGCGACGGCTGCCCGCGCGCTGACGGGCCGCTGTCGGCAGGCGCGGCCGGCGCCGCCTACACGGTGTACACCACGCTGGATCTGAAGTCGATCCAGCTGGACACGCTCAGCTACGTCTGCAGCAGGCACGTGGCCGCCCAGGGCCAGCTGGCCGCCGCACAGCTCGTCTTCAACACCGTCCTCAAGTTCTTCAACAACGCCAAGGACGTGAGTGACGTCCGCTGCCGTCGCGCAGCGCCGTTATAAAAGCTATGTGTGATGAACAGTACAAGGTGATGGACGCGTGTACGGTCGCGTGGTCAGTGGCGTAGCCATGCGTCGTGTTCACAAGCGCTGGGGCGGTGTCTTTCTGCGTCCTGTCTGTTTCGACAAGCGCCGCTAGAGACCGTTTGCGCTCGCGTCGTCTTTTGTGATGACGTTTCCGGCCCGGTGCCGTTCGAAAGACGGTCGCCGGGTAGACGTCTGCGCCTTGCGGGGCAGTCCGGTGACGAGCGCTCCTGTCGCCCACAGACCACCGACTGTCTGATCGCGGCCTACAAGGTAGGCTCGTTCCAGCAGATCCCCGAGTTCGTCGAGCTGAAGAGCCGGCTGGCCAACTCCACCAGCTACCGGCTGACTCTGACCGACTGTATCCTGCTGGACCTCACCTCGGTGGCCTCGCAGCACGCCCAGACGCTCGAGGTGGGCGCCGCGACGCTGCGCGGTCGGTCACATTCCGCTCTCTGGGACGGCCCCGCTTACCGGCCTTCAGCTCGGTGTCGGGCGCTAACGTCAGCTGATTTGAAAGGATAAGAGGATGGTGTTAGGTCTTGGACGTTCAGCATATCTGGAATGTATGCTGCCGTGTTTCTGCGAACCTGTGTCCGATGGTCAGGTGGTGCGTCGCTGTGCGGCGGCACTGACGCGCGTGTCTACGGTGGGGTGTGCCCTGACCGTCCCGTGCCGCCACTCGGTCAGCTGTTGCGCTACACGGCGCTGGGCCCCGCCTCGCTGGGCGCCGTGCCATGGGATCAGCTGCGCGACAACCGGGACGTGGCAGTGCTGCCGGCCTTCTCGGACGCCGAGCGCCGCCGCCGCGACGCCGACCGCCAGCTCAGCTGGCGTCAGGACGTGCATCTGCTGCGCGTGCGCCAGCTGACGCTGCGTGCGCTGGTGGCGGCGCTGGAGCTGGCGCCGCCGCAGAACGGCGACCTGGCGCAGCTGCGGCAGCTGGCGGAGCAGCTGGCGGAGGCGGCGCGGCCGGCCGACGCGCGCCTGCTGACGGCCGGCCGGCCTCAGCTGAGCGGACCGCTGCCATCGCGGCTGCCGCGGCTGCTGGCCCGGCCGCACCTGCTGCTGCTCAGCCGGCTGCTGGAGGCGGCTGCTGCGCTGGCGGCTGGCGGCCAGCCGGATCAGCCGCTGGCCGAGCTGACCGGCCTGTGCCAGCGGCTGGCGGAGCCGCCGCCGGCCGCCGCCGGGCCGGCCGAGCTGCTGGAGGAGGCGGCGCTGCTGACGGAAACGGTCAGCCTGGCGGCGGCCGTCTGCGGCGCTGTGCACGCCTGGACGGCGCCCGCCCGGCCCGCCGGCAAGCGCGGCAAGAAGAAGAAGGCGGCCGTGCAGGCTCCGGTACGTGTTGCCGGCCGGCCGCCGGGACCGCGGTCGGTACCAAGCTGTAGTCAGTTGGGACGATGTTCTGACTCGTCGTTACGACATGCGTGTGAGCTCAGGTCACCGACGTCGCTGAAATAAGCGAGTGTGAATGAATGCAGTAGATAGGCCAGCTCAGAGACAGCTGGATACTTACGTTGGAGGCCCTACGTTAGGCGTCAGTGTTATGGCTCTGGGCTTCTCTGACCGCCGGGCCGTGCTGTCCCGTCTCTTGGTGTCCGATAGGAGGTTCTCTGTGCACCGGCCAGACCGTCGGCCCCTGCGCGTGCCGTGTGACCCGCCTCCCCTGACGCTGGACCGCGCTGCGTTGCAGAGCGAGTCGGACGACCCGCACAACCGGATGGTGGGCGCGCTGCTGGAGCTGACGCGCTCCACCAGCAGCCTGGTGGACGGTGCCGGCAGCACGCTGGCGCAGCTGTGCGCCTCGGCGCAGCTGGAGCGGCTGCAGCTGGCGCCGACCGTGGCCGAGCCGCTGCGCCTGGCCGGCGCCGCCGTGCTGCAGCAGCTCGAGGCCAGCTACCGCTCCTCGCTGCGCGAGCTTGCCAAGGTGCTGCAGTACAAGCTGGAGTACTTGACGGCCTGCCTGTTGTGATATAGACGGAGCGCGCGCCCGATGCCGGCGCGTGGTGGCCGCCGGCGCGGCGCGGCCGGCCGACGCGCGACCGTGCGGGCGATGTGCCCAATTAGGCCCTGGTCCAGGCTGCGCCGGCGCGGGTCCAGAGAGTGCGTGTGTGTTTTGAATGTAACAACTTTTCTAGACCTGGCGTGTCGCTAACAACGAGCGCGTGTTGGCGGACGCGCGGCTCGGCGTCAGGGACCGGGACGGCCGTGCGTCACGCTCGTCGCCCGGAGCGGTCGTGCGCCAGGCTCGCCGCCCGTGGCGGCTGTGCGCCGGGATCGCCGCGCGCTGGCTCCCGCCGAGCTGCTGTTTAAGGCTTCTTCAAGTTAGGGGACGTTAATGCGGTTGGTATGCGTTATAATGAGGAGTGCAGAATACACTCGTCTCTTGTAATGGTGGATTTCAGTTCTGGGTCTGAGTCGGAGCGTGGAATGCCCCAAACTGAGAGAGGACTTGTGAGTGTCGGGATGGAGAAACACGAGATGGGGCGGGTGAAATTCAGAGCAAACTAGGGTGTCCCGACCCGTTCCGAATGTTCATACCCTTCTGTTGGGAGGTACACGTTGGCTCAATAATTTGATACAAATCGACTGATGAAATACCTCAGCATGGTTTCCTGCAAAACTTTCACATCCATGCGATGTGGTCGTGATGTAGCGGATAACTGATGTGCTCTTTCAAGGAGTTGAACAGAGACATTGTTACTGCTTTGCATTGTCATATAGAACCAGTGATGACACTGACCTTGGTAGCCTTAACACTGGGTTAACAAGCGACTCCTCACTTGACAGAAATCGTTTGCACTCGTGGTGTTCGAGAACTTCCGTGCGGCAGTGTGACCACCAGCCTCGGGATAGCAAAGCCACGCGTCAAGCTAGCCCTCTGGGCTTTTATTGGTTCGGTTAAAAAACATAGTAGTCACAACATACACTGATATACTCGCCACATGTAACAAACTTTCCTTTTGTTACAATAAGTTACTCTTAAAATAGTTGCACTACACGAGGACATACTACATCCGGCTTGTTACTCCATCGTGCTATCGCGCGCCGTATACCATCGGCATATATCATGTATGTACAAATCGATACCTTTGACACACTGACTACGCCACTGCTCGTTCGGACCCAACACCGATGACCGACAGAAAGTGCAGGGGGGGGGGGGGGACGCGCGGGTTAGTGACTAGCTAGGGGGCACGCCGCGTCTGGCCCGGGGCACGTCTCGAGTATCACATCTCTGGCCGGCGCGCGCCGCCCGGCCGTCGGTCCTGGCTCCAGCGGCGCCGGTCGTCACCCTCGCGGTCCCGCCTGGTGCGCACGCCCCCACACAGAGGCGAGCTCACGGCGAGCACGGCCCGGAGTCTCACGGCGAGCACGGCCCGTCCTTCAGACGCCGGTAGATGGCCTGCACGTAGGTGAACACGCACTTCCAGTCGGGCTTACGCATGGCCACCATGTCGTCCGTGTCCAGCAGCGGGAAGATGCCCGCCTTCTCACTGGGGGCGGGGTGGGTCAGGTCAGTCGTCGTCACGCGCGCACCGCCGCCGTGCCGCTGACGCCGACGACCGTTGTAGCGTAATAACGCACCTTAGCTCGCCACTGATTTCTAAACGGCTGTTTGTCATGGGACTGAGATGCGATGGAAATTATTGCACAGGCATATGTAACGTTTCCGGCGTCCATGAGCTCAAGCGTATGCTGGAATCGATACCAACTTACTCGGCTGTTTTGAAGGCCAGGTCGAAATTATAGCGGCGGTTTTTCGGATTTAATTTCTCGAAATCGAAGGCGTCTGGGTAAAAGTGGTGGATGAGAGCGCAGAAAGCCATGCCGTCGTTCCAACTGGTGGAGAAGTTTTCGATGTTCACGTTCTGTGGAGAGGCACGGGTGAATGGTCAGACCAAGTGATCAGGTTCATCCTTTAACGACAGCCGGGGGGGGGGGGGGGGGGGGACGTGCAGGGGGGCGTGCATCTTGGCCCTTTCAGTTGAGGAGAGCCTGTCATTTCGGTAGGTTTATAAACCGTGAAAGTGTTCATTCTGAGCCTAAGCGTGCGACAAGCGTGCAGAGATTGCAAAATCCTTACTCTACGGATGCATTTGCACAGAAGCAGCATTATGCTACCAGACACCAACACAGCTAATGCCCCGAGCTGCACCGCATCGGCAAGCAAGCATGCGTCTTAGTACTCACAAGCACCAAAACCGAGTCGCACCCGTCATTAACGTGGTCACCTCCCAAAAGGTTTTTTTCGGCAGGTTTCCTGAAACGGTACGACTTCCCAGGTGGCGTGGCCATCAGTGACGTCAGTGACGGTGGCGTGGCCATCAGTGACGTCAGCCAGTGTGCGCGTGGGTTTGCGTGTGAGGGGGACGCGACTGACAGTTGCGTGGTGTCAGTGCTTGAATGGCCGCGTGGCCCGGTGCCTCGTGTGCTCTATAGATTCACGCCGACGCGCGTCGGGGGCCGCCCGTTACAGGCATCTATCTCGCGTGCACTGTTCGTCAGTACGGTGTGACGAATTTCGCATCATTCTTAACAGCAGCGTGCTCGCGAGAATGGCACCATTTGATGTGGCGACACCACCAGAGGCCTCGCCTGCGCGGCCGCAAGTGTATGAGCTGCCTCGCGGTGTCCGGTGTGATGTGCTGGTCCGAGGCCGCGTGCTCGTCCGGGCGTCAGCCGTGGTGTGCGTGGAACGCCCCCTGTGGTGCTCGGTCCCTGTTACCTGGTGGTCCCTGGTGCGACACTGGCGCCAGTAGTCAGCGCCCCCTATGGTGCTCGGTCCCTGTTACCTGGTGGTCCCTGGTGCGACACTGGCGCCAGTAGTCAGCGCCCCTGTGGTGCTCGGTCCCTGTTACCTGGTGGTCCCTGGTGCGACACTGGCGCTAGTAGTCAGCGCCCCTGTGGTGCTCGGTCCCTGTTACCTGGTGGTCCCTGGTGCGGCACTGGCGCCAGTAGTCAGCGCCCCCTATGGTGCTCGGTCCCTGTTACCTGGTGGTCCCTGGTGCGACACTGGCGCCAGTAGTCAGCGCCCCTGTGGTGCTCGGTCCCTGTTACCTGGTGGTCCCTGGAGCGACACTGGCGCCAGTAGTCAGCGCCCCTGTGGTGCTCGGTCCCTGTTACCTGGTGGTCCCTGGTGCGACACTGGCACCAGTAGTCAGCGCCCCTGTGGTGCTCGGTCCCTGTTACCTGGTAGTCCCTGGTGCGACACTGGCGCCAGTATTCAGCGCCCCCTATGGTGCTCGGTCCCTGTTACCTGGTAGTCCCTGGTGCGACACTGGCACCAGTAAAGCGTCATCTCCTTGGCGCCCTGCGCCTTGGCGGCCAGGCCCGCGTCCAGCTTAAAGCCGCCGCCGCCGTCGCTGGAAAGAGCAGGCGTCGGCGCCGTTACCGCGGGACGGCGCCGGTTGCCCCAGCCCGGCCGAGCGCAGCTGAAGCCCATCAGACAGAACAGAGATGCAGAGACGATGGAGAGACAACGGGAGCAGAGGAACGCGGCGCGGCGCCGGCTGCCCCGGCCTGGCCGGGCGCAGCTGCGAGCCACCGGCCCGCCAGACGGAGCAGAGGTGCGGGGATGACGGAGGGGAGGAGGGAGCTAGGAACGAGCACACGAGGGGGAAAGGCCAGGAGAAGAGAGAGAGAGAGAGAGAGAGAGAGAGAGAGAGAGGAGAAGAGAGAGAGAGAAGAGAGAGGAGAAGAGAGAAGAAGAGAGAAGAAAGAGAGAGAAGAGAAGAGAGCAGAGAGAGAGAGAGAGAGAAAGAGAAGAGAGAGAGAGAGAGAGAGAGGTGCGAGGGATGAGGAAGGGGAGGAGGGAGCAGAGGAACGGAGGAAAGGTGGGCACACGACGAGGAGGGAAAGGACAGAAGAGGGAGAGAGAGAGAGAGAGATGACGGGAGAGGAGAGAGAGAGTGAGAGAGAGAGAGAGAAGAGAGAGAGAGAGAGAGGAGATGGAGAGAGAGAGAGAGAGACGACGAGAGAGAGAGAGAGGGGGGGGGGCAGCAGCAGTGCCGCAAGGAGGGCGGAGAAGCGTGCGCTGAGAGGAAGCCCCTGGCGGTGCGCAGCGGAAGCTCAGCGGTGGATAGCAGTGATATCCCGCGGTACCGGACACCGGGCACCGACCGTCGGCCGTGCCCACCTCGGACGCCATTGCCGCCGTGTTCGGAGACGGGATGGCCGGCCGCCTGAATTGTTGCAGATATTCAGGCAGTGCGCCGTTGAGCATAAACGCTTCATGTTGACATAGATCTACGTTGGATGGCAAGATGGTCCTGAATACGTCAAGAGCTGGGGTGGAAAATTATAGCCGACTCCTCTTCCTGCTGAAGATGATGCTCTGATTAGAAAATAAGCCGAGCTTGTGCGTGCTAAGAGATCGCAACAATTGTCGTCGCGACTGAAGGTCACCAACCTCACCCCGTTACGAGCTGCCGTGTTAGGTAATACAACACAAACGAGCGCCATCCCAGAGAGAGTCTATCCCCGCCCACGGCCAATCGCCGTTTACCGGTGTGGGCTGGCCCGGTGCCGGATCTGGTGCGGGTGCGGGGGCGCGGCGTACCTGGAAGTGGAGTCGGTGCGCGGTACAGCCCGCGGGTTGGCCGAGTCCAACTGTTTGAACTTGTCAAACGCGGAGACCGGTGCCTTCCCTGGGAACGGCAGGCAGGTTCAGTCGCGTGGCGAGTCAACCGCACGTTGAACCCGCGACGAAACCAACAACCTATCGAAGCACAACAGAATAAGCTCATATTTAACAGGGTCGCACGGGGCAGTGGTCAGCAACGAACCAGCGCGGCACGACGAACTGCAATTCCTGCGCCGAATATCGGCACCAGGAGAACATCCAGGCCTTTCGCCGCGGCGTACATCGCGCCTTGGTTGCAGATGTCGTTCCAACGCCGCCGACCGCGCCGACCTGTCGCCCATCCGGTCGCCGCGCTGGGTCGGACATGTTCCGGGCGTGTGCGTTCAGCCCTCGAAACACTCACCTTTGGTGAGCTGCGAGCGCTGAGAGCTGGCCACGGTCTTGGAGCTGCTCGTCTTCGCCGTCACTGGAGCGGACACGGCTCGTCAGCCTCAACACGTCGGGGGTCGGGGCCGCGGCGATCGCACGACCGGCAGACGGAAGCGTCATCATAATCACAGTGCAACGGCAGCTCCCGAGGGCCAGCACCAGGAGGGACACGCAATCCCTTCCGTGATGCATGACGTCCGTCCATCCATTACGTTGTTCAACACAGACTGCTACCGTTTTCGGGATTTTCCGGGTTGGCTCTACTTTCAATTATGAAAGGGCACGAAGCTGTATGTATTTAAGTGCCATGGATATAGCAAATTGCCAGCAGATCAAGCCAAAGCCGTTCGTGGCTAAGGCCTTGTGTGACAATCCCGTATTCCAAACAGGTATGTCTTACCTGAAGACGAGGAAGAGGCCATCTTGCTATCAGAAGGTGAGTCTTTCCCTGAAATCCCAGATAGTTTTTAGACGAATGCACGATTGATACACGGTCGTCACCGCTGCGGCCAGCAACAACAAAACTAAACTCAGCGCGGTGAGCCGGTGTCAATAACCGCTATAGTCTCGTTCCCTCAGCCTCCCTATGAACTTAATCAACGCCCTGTTTCCCGTAGTTTACGGATCAGCGACATTTCACTAAGAAATGATAACGGTGAGCGAAACCATCGAGCGATCCCTGAATGCTAGCCTAACGCAATCGTTCGCATTGCGATCGGGACAGCAGGGCGATCCGATCTGCACGGCAAAGTCATACGCTACCGTGTACACAGAACAAACCGGCGCACCAGCGATCTGAGCAGCACTTTGTGAGCCCCTTTCATGCTCACCACGTTTAGCTATTCCCACGGCATTTATGCTAGCTCACCTTGCGTGACCATGCTCAGATAGGCCACAGAGTGTTCGACCCGATATGCAGAGGAAGAAAAGGCACCAGAGACTGCAGACAGGTGCAGTCGGGTGAAGCAGCGACAGAGCGATAGCCAGAGAAAAATAGCGGGAGATAAGTACGAACTGATGATGGAAGCAGAATGAGACATCATTAGAGCCCAAAGAAGACGAGAATAGACGCAGAGCTGAGAGCAGAAAGCGAGAACAGGTTAGCAGCGGGAGAAACAGAGCAGCATTCGAAAGTAAGAAAGAGCGAAAGCAGGTTGCAACCCCGTGATGCCCTAAAGCCACCGACAAAGGTTGTAGAACGGATACTTACCATCAGGCTCAAAGTTGTCCTGCAGCCATTCGTTGATCATTTTAGCCTCTAAAAATGAAACGTAAACTCAATGTTAAGATCACAATAGAAACCATGCCAACGACAAATCATGCGATACACAACGGCATGACACACTTCAAGCCATGCCTGTTAGATACAGGCCACATGCATTTCCACGAAACACACAATGCATGGCATATGTTTGATAAAATGCCCTACATGACCGCGTCAGAAGCGAGCGATGCACAGCCGGCTAAGAGTCATACGAGATCACGACTGCGATTCGCTGTGGTGAGCAAAGCACACGCGGCCTGCGAGGGTTTCATCTCCCGCAGTTTTGGCATGAGGAGTCGGGGCTTGTCCGGGCCAGGGCCACCAGCTGCTGCCGCCTCTTCTATCGTCTGTCTCACTCTCTAGTCGACCACTACACTGATTCTGCGCTTAGCGCCTCGGCCAGCTCGTGGCCAGTACGCCAAACGAATGCATGCCGTCTGCCGACTCAGCTGATCGGAGCCCAATGTGCGCCGACTGCGCTCCTGTCAGCCCGGCGTCACGCTGTCTTCGAGCCGCCCGAACTACGACACTTGGCCGGTAGCAAACAGCTGACTCGGCAGGTGGCGCTACGGCGGGCGTGCGAAGCTGGCGGTCTCTAGGTCACGGCTAGCCGCCTCCGGCGAGGACAGGGCGGAGCAGGGCTCTGCCAGCGCCCGGCGGAGCCCGACAGGAGTGACAGCCGCGCTAAGGCCGCATCACGTCCGGTACGGTACGGTGGTTCCTCCAGGTCGGAACGGAGCTTCAGGCGTTAGTGTCTGCCTTCGCTGCAGCTAGTCACGGCAAAATTGCAGGCGTCAGGCGCAGGCGCAGACGCAGACGCAGGTAGGCGTGCGGCTGTCCTGACGGCCGGTCTCGCGGGCAGTGGCTCACTCACGGCTTACCCAGCGTGGCGGACCTCTGGTCCCAGACCCTGTCGGAGCTGCTGCTGCGCATCACGTTGCCCGGCGCCGACGACGCTGGTTGGACGCGACGAGCCTGCAGCGGCGAGGCCGGCAAACTGCCGGCGCTCGCCGCCAGCCGCTGCGGAGGCCGCGCCGGCGGCGGCGCCACGGCCGGCGCGCCGTCGGCTGAGAAGCGTGTCTTGGGCAGCGGCGGCGGCCGGTAAGTCTTCGGGTCAGCCAGCCGCTGCGGCTCGGACGCCTGCCGGCCCAGCTGCGCCTTGTGCGCGGCGCTCTGCGTGTTCTGCATCAGCTGACGGAGCGCACCGGCGGGCAGCGAGCGCACCGGCGCCAGGGCCGGCTGCGCCACCGGCGGCGGGGCCGGCTGCGCCACCGGCGGCGGAGCGACGGCAGCGACTCCGCCGGCCTCGCAGGCGGAGGGAGCCGCCGCCGTCCCCGGCGCCGCCGCTCCGGGTGGCGCCGTCATCTCGGGGCTCGCCGCGGTCACGGTGGCGGCACGGCGCACCACGCGGGGGCTCCACGGCGCTCGGAAGCCGACCCCCTCTGCGGCCGGCGCGGCTAACGGAAGCACCACACGACTGGTGGGCGTTGAGGAGGCCAGCGCCTGGCCGAGGCTCACGCTGCCCCGGGTGACAGATGCCTGCAGCGGCGGAGACTGGTTAAATGACGTGCCGCCCTGTGCCTGCGGAGGCGGAGTCGGGTGATGCGGTGTGCCGTTCTGTGACTGCAGTGGCACACTCTGGTGCTGCGGCTGCACCAATGGATGCTGCTGAACAGGTGGCTGATGTCGCGATAGCAGGGGCTGCTGGTGGGATACATTGTGTGGTGCCTGTTGAATGAAAGCGTGCTGCTGTTGTGGCTGCGCCTGTCGCTGCGTGAGCTGAGACTGCCACGTCTGCTGCTGTGTCCAATGTGTTTGCTGCTGTGTCGGCTGTGTTTGCTGCTGCGTGACAAACGTCTGCTGCTCTGCAGCGGCCTGCTGCTGCCGCCAGCCGGCATCAGACAGCGCGGCCAGCCGCCGGTCCGGGTCCGCCGGCAACGAGGCCTGTCTGCGCTGCCAGGGCGGCCGCTCTGGCTGGCCGCAGGCGGCACCGTTCGCCGGGGCCGCCCGATCATCGCGGGCCCACGGCGGCCGCGCCGAACCGCTGCCGTCAAACGCGCCCGACAGACGGGCCACGCTGGCGGTGCGGGTAGCCAGCATGCCCTGGCGAGCCCAGGGTAGGTGGCTGGAGCCCGCCGGCGGGACGGCCGGCCCCACGGACGACGGACGCGCAGGAGCGCGCTCCGCCGAGGCCTGACGCGGCGGGACAGCGCAGACCGCAGTCCCCTCCGCTGGCGTCTCCACCAGCTGCGACACGGAGGCGGACGCGACCTCAGAGCATGCAACCGAGGCCGAACTCGACTCAGCAGGCTGCAAGAGATTAGAAGAGGACGTCTCGAAGTCATCGCGGTTTTTCTCCGGCTCGGCAATCTCTTGGGAGGACAGCGAGAGGTCCGGTGGCTCGCTTCCCTCGCGAAGCGCCTTCTGGTGGGTGAAGAGACGGCTACCGATCACCTGCTCCTTCGACACACGGGTCGAGTCCTCAAGATACTCCTTCGTCATCTGCTTCGTCAAGAACGACGCCAGTGAGGATCGCGACCCGACGGGACGTGGACCGGCCGCCGGCCTCTCGTCAGCGGGCGGAGCCTCCCCTTCCGGCTGCGTGACGTCATCGTCGTCGCAGTGTCGCAATCGGGACGCGTCCCTCGTGGCAAACTGTCCCATCGCCTCGTGCACGGTGGCCTGTTGGGGCTCTGCGCCGTCCGGAGAAGTTGTGTCGTCCAGCGAGTCGCTCTCGAACGCCTGCTGGCGGTGCAGCGTGTGTGGTCCAGCGGCGTGCAGACCGAGCTCCCCCGGCGCCGGGGCGGGCTCGGCCGGCTCGGCCGGACCGTCCGGTTCCTGGCGCTGCCCGGCCGGCCCGCTGGCGGCGGCGGCGCCGAGCGCGGCTCGGATGGCCGCCACGTCCCCGGCCGAGCTGCCGATAGTGTGCGGCCGCTCGGGGCGGCGGCTGAAGCGTGGCGGCCGTCGCCAGCCGGCCCGAGCAGCGCTGCGCGCCCCCTCCGAGCCCCTCGCAGGCGGCGGCTGCGCGACGGGCGGCAGAGCCGACACCGGCGGGTCCCCGCCCAGAGGGGGCGCCGCTGCCGCCAGCTCCACTGGCCGCGGGGCGGAGATGGCCGCCACCGGCGGAGCGGGTCGGACGGTCTCCGTCGGCGCTGGCCTGAAAGCGTCGCTGCTGGTGATGCTACGACGGCGGTACTCCTCAGACAGCTGCCTGCTAAAGGGACGCGCGCGGGGCGTGTACAGGGACCCTGGTGGGAGCGGCGGACCCTCTGACAAGCGGCGCACGTGCCACAGCGGCCGTTCGGCCGGCGGCGCGGGCTCCGGCGGCGCCGCGGTCGCGTTCCGCTCCTCCTGCGCGCGCAGCGCCGCCGCCACGTCCAGCGAGCGGCGGATCTCGGAGAACTCCTCCCGTGTGATGCCGACGGTGTGGGGTCGTCGCGGTCTCGCCGGTCGCCCCCGCCGCGCGCTCAGCGACGGAGCCGGAGCCGGCGGCGGCAGGCCGGGCGCCGGCTGGCCGACGGGCGCCAGCGGCTGCAGCGACATCTGCAGCCGGTCGATGAGCATGACGAGCTGGCCGGGCCGGCTGGCGCCGCCCACCAGTTGCTGCAGATCGGCCGTCTCCGGCGAAGCAGCGACGTCGGACGGCGGCGCCGACAGCGACGCCCTGAGCTTGGCCAGCGCCGACACCACATCGGCCACCAGCTGCGGGCCTGGGTTCGGCGCACCGTCCGGTGGCGCGCGCAGGTCTCCCCCGCTGAGGCTCGTCTGCAGGCCGTCCATGAACGAGCTGAGCTCGCCGCCGGCCGCCTCGTCACCGCTCTCCGTGCCCGAGTCGTCGGCCACGCGGCGCGACGGCCGCTGCTGCAGCGAGCTGCGCAGCTGGTCGTAGACGAGCGGCAGCAGGCGCGACTCACCGTGCTGGCTGACGCTGCCGCCGTCGCGCTGCTGCTGGTGCTGCAGGCGGCGGCGCGAGGCCAGCTCGCGGCGCGCTGCAACAGACGGGCGGCCGTCACAGCGGCGCCGGCGGCCGGCCCAAGAGGCGCCGGTGGCCGGCCCGAGCCGACCGGAGGCGACGCGTAGCGGCAGCCACACACGGAAACACGCACACGCAAGCGCGACGAGTGCGAGCAACTACGCATGTACATGGGGTCTGGACAGGCCGGAGCCGGACCGGCGGCTCAGCCTGGCCTCACCGGAGCTCGTCCGTCGGCGAGCGGTGAGAGAAGAGAGGGGTGAGGGCTGGCACCCCAGATTAATAGACCGCAGCCCACTTGACTGTGCAAGGGGTGGAGCAGACACGCACAAGTGAACGCAGTGCAACATGCGGTTTTCACGGCCCAACGGGCTGCCACGCCTACCTCTGGCCTCCTGCATCAATGTCATCAACCTGGCACGGATCTTCTTCCTCTCGTCGAAGTTGTCGCACTGCTCCAACTGAAAATGGAACGGGAATTCTGAGCGCGCGCGCAAGCTAAGCACAGGGGAGCGTGTCACGTCTTGGTCGCAAAGTAGTTAGGTGGGTTAGGCATCTGGCGTCTGTGGAGACGAGGCAGAACATTCCGCGGGGCTGGGGCGTGGTACGGGGTGGCCCTATCTGCACCGCCCCACCCCAAGTCACGCCTGCCAGCCCTGGCACGCCAATCACGCTGAATGTCTGACGCCGCCAACGCCACGCGCCTATTTCTGGCAACAAAGAACGCTATCAGACCGTCACGCTTAACCTTTTTCGGGGATTTCACCGCTCGGAGATTTCCGTGTCGAGTGTTTGCCAGCAGCGCTTCGTTAAGCGAGAACACTCACGGATAAGCGAAATACGAAAGCGCCATGGCACCCTGCAAGTAATGCCAACGAGCAGCCTTCCAGGCCCGGATCGCCAGGCAAAATAAACCTGGGCCACGTCACCATTGGAGCCGGCTCAAATGTCCCGGTCATATCATGCCTGCGATGCAGACAACCAAGAGGCGACGCTGCCAGTGAAATGCCGGACATTCGCCCGGCAGACCGCGTCAGCTCACGAGCCATGAGCGCTGGCAGCTCCTCCGACGCGCCGCGAGAGGTCTCCGGCAGCTTGGATTATTTTGTTTGGGACCGGGAATAGCTCAGAGTTTAGCTTGTCCGACAAACACCGGCACGGCGACCTGGGACGGCGGCGGCCCCCCGCCAGCGCGGCGGTCATGTGTTCCCCGCGGCCTAACAGAGCGTCAGGTTACAGATGAGGTAGAGCCGTGAGAGGCCCTCCACCCCGCCCGAGGCGGCAGCGGCGCCTAGGACGGGTCGGGCCTCGGTCTTGGTTAGTTCATAGACTACCCTGTCCATGAAAATCATGTTATCACGAAGGATTTAATTGGCAGAACACACCGTGGACTAGCAGCGTTTTTACCTCGCGTGGTCGTGCTCGGTTGCCCTGCATCGTGCTGTCCCAACAAAACCATCAAACCGCAAATCGCCCTCCGGGCTCGGGAGTCTTGGATTGCAAACCAAGCATGGTTAGATTGTTTTACGCTTAAACAGAGCAGCTGATCGTGGTAAGCCTCTTTTGCACAATATCACGGGTCCTTTGTACGAGGAAATATCGACATCAGGCGATGTCGATATAATATCATACGACACTCGCATGATACTCGGTATCATGCGAGTAGTCAGTAGTAGAGTAAAACAAAACCACATTGATGCTTATTTGGTCTGAGGGCGTATCTTCAATATTGTAGAGTAGCTGTCGGCCGCCGGACGGAGTGGTGTATCAGTAACTGTCGGCCGCGTGGAGGAGTGGTGCATCGATAACTGTTGTCCGCGAGGCGGAGTGGTGTATCGATAACTGACAGGCAATGGACGTACGAGAGGCGGGGCCGGCCGAGACCAACGGCAACAGGTGTTTGGAGGGCTGGCCGTCCCGCGCATGTGTGACCCAGTGCAAAAGGCGTGTGGGTGCGCTTGTGAATCGGTCGCTCCCTTTCGTGGTCTCTCCCGGGTGGAGACAGAGGGAAGCGACTTTTACGATGTGGGTAGTATTGCGTGCTCCTATTTGTTTGTGCGCAGTCGTGATTCAAATGTCGTGCTCTTTCGAGCGTACTGATGGACTTTTGGAAATGGAATTCAGTGAAAGGACTTTGAAAGGCCGAAGAATTCAGTCCGAGGAAAATGGTGTGAAATAGTGTGCGCGCATTTGCGTGTTTATTTTCATAGCATTAGCGACAAAATGTGTCTTGATTTAAGTTGATCGGTTTGATTAATTTGCCGAGAGGCAGTTGCCTAAAATGCCGATTTAACATAGTGTATTGCAGATGAGCACATGTGTGAGCACAGCATCTTTCCGTTCCTTTTAGCGGGGTGCCACAGCTGCTGGACGGAGAACGCGGATCCTCCCCTTTACCCGGCTGTACTTAACATGGGACAGACGGCCCAAAGATTGCAAAGAGAATAACAGATGCTATCGGCACGGCTATCACCGAGTTGCTGGTGCTGATTCAGATGCGCAAGGACATTCCATTGGCAAAGCTCAACTCAATATTCTTTAAATGCGAGGCCGCAGGCCGACTTATTTACGATGTCAACCAACCGCAGATTTTTAAGTTTCAGCGTGCTGCCCAGGCCCAGCCCGGATCTGACCTCAGACGGGTTTTATACTGGCAACAATCAGCCGCGCCACTCTGAGGCTTGCAGCAACAAGTGGCACCGGTATTCTAATTTTGCGCTGTACTTTTCAATGCGCTTTAGCGTACGGTGCTATATTAGGTGGTTTGCTCCTGAACAGTTGTTCAATCCAGCTTCCCATTCATTCATTCAATTGCATAGGAAAGTGGAAATGTTAAATCGCAACAAGTGAAAACCGCGGGACAGGATAGGTGTAGATTTCTAACACTAGATGACGCAGCCGCATGCGATGGACTGATACTGACGAAGGAAAAGGAGCAATCGCACTGGCGAACGCATGGATGAATTTCACGTGTATAGAATCACGCGCAATCGGGCACACACCGCGGATAGTCCGTGTTTCGGTATTAGCAAGACTGGATGCCAGACCTTAGCGATCAGAGCAGGTGGAGACCAAAAACCAGCTGGGTACGTACTGTCTTAACATTAAAACAGCAAGCGATCTAAATATTGTCTGACCTATAAGCATGCCATCAGAAGCTGCTCGCAGGAATCCACCAGTTGTCTTTTCCGAGGCCTGTTCCGAATACAGTGACAGTGACCTAAGCCGAGACAGACAGGGCCATGAAAAAATATCGCATCTGAGGGAGTCCCGTGCTAAGTTTCAGGTTTCGTGCTCACATTTATTTCCTACATGCGAAGTACGGACCCCATTTCTGCGACGCAGGAAACCAAGATCGCACTGATTTCTATCAGAGGGTGGCCAAATAATTGTCTGGCCCTGGTATCAGATTCAGAACTAATGCCAAGTGAGGTCTATACTGGCACCGGGGCACGCTTTATGACCAGGCATTAACATTAAATGCTTTATGATTGTCCCAGCAAGAGTCCGCAAGAGTCGCATCAATGCTAAAACGAAGGGACCCCAAGAGCCTTCAAGAGGCCTCTAGCTTCTGGGAGCGGTGGCGGTGTGCGAGAGGTTTGGAGGGCTGGCCGTCCCGCGCGGTGTCTGTTCGATTCTGTCATCACCGCATGCTCCAAGCAGACAGAGAAGCTGCCATCTTGTCGTTGCCGCACGCCTGGCGCGCGCCACCTGACGAGTTGGTATGCTCAGATGTTGTGAGAAAACAAACCTTCGCTTCATCTGACGTTTTACGAGCCGGCTTGAGATCTAATCACAAACAAAAGAAAGCAACGTCACACCTCCGCGTCTGTCCAACATTCCCAAGGTCGATGACAGGAAGGAGGTGCCTCTAAATGACCAGTCGCGCATGTTGACGTTCAAGAGCGAACAGTCAGCAGCATTCCTAAAAGCCAATCTCCCGCTATGTCGAGCACATGGACACAGTCCCTCATGCCCAACCTTCCGCTCTTGCCTCGCGAATGTCATACACCTCGCAACAGACCTTAAGCCGCGGGTCGTCGCCCTTCCGTGGGCCGGTGGAGCGGAGGCGCGGGGTCACACTCACACCGTCCGCCTGCGCCGACTGACCGGCTGTCCCACTCCGCACACAATACAGACCACCGGGCAAAAATAGCCGGCCGGCCCAGCGCTGGCGCCGCGCGCCGCTCCCCGCGCGCGGTCCGCGGCGCGACGCGCACGCGGACACCGGGGACACTGACGCACACTGACACTGACACTGACACTGACACTGACACTGACACTGACTCTGGCACCCGTGAAATGGCCTTTGTAGCTGATACGCCAGAAAAACACAAACACACAGACTGACACCCACATTGACACCGGCACTGATACAGACACCGGTACTGATACAGACACCGGTGCTGATACAGACACTGACACAAACACAGACACTGACACAGACACTGGCAGACTCTGGCTGGGGACGATGGGCTGCGGGAGGGGCCGGCGAAAGACCAGACCATCGGAGCAGGGACAGAACCGAGGTACTGGGTCACGCAAACGGCCTGTCTTGTAACAGACCATAACTGCGAATCATCGGACTCGGTCCAGGTGACGTCACTAGACTGTCAGACCAGCCCATCGGACAATCCGTTGAGTTCTAGTTTACGTTATAACGTTAATTTGAAGTGAAAACATTATCTCCTTAGACTTCTGATGGTGACCTAATGACATTAGAATGGCCTGTGCGGACTGTGAACCGACATATGACACTGCTCACTGCAGGCCGCCAGGCCGCGCTCAAGTCAACACATTCTGGTGACGATGCGAACGTGTAAAGCTCATGGAAAAGTCTGCGAAAATGGTCCGTTTTATGAGAGCGTTGGACCAAAACTGGGAGATTACCTTAGTTGGGAGATCACCTTAGTGAACATTCAGCACTGTGAAATGAATAGTTGATGAGCCAACCAAATAACTGGCCCTTTTAGGAAAATCATGATTTTGACTTAATTAAGATAACGCCAATTAGCATATAACGCCTTGATATATGCCCAAATTCACATAGATAAGACAGCAGTATTAGACGTATTTCTCAGAGAAAAACAAGGAAAATGGAGATATGGCTGGGATGATATTTCGGCAACATGCCTTTATCGAAACAATAGCAGAAGACTTCTGCTATTGTTTCGATAAAGGCGTGTTGTCGAAATACCAACCCAGCTGTATCTTCATTCTCTTGGTTTCTCTCCGAGGAATAATGCCAATAATACTGTCTATGTTACGTAATTATGCACCAATTCACCACATTAACGTCGAGAGGCCGACATAACAATGGTTATATGCACCTCCGCGAGACATTGGTCTCACCATCTCGTGGAGCTTATCCTGGTCGGTGACCTCGGAGATGTTGACCCCCGAGACGATGACCGTCTCCCCGGCCGCAGGGGTCTGCAACGGACGGGCGGAGACACCGGGTCAGGTAACGGCCGCGAGGAACTGTGCCACGTCACGGCATCAGGAGTCTGAGACACGTTGTCACGGGCCGCTACTGAGGCGGCTGACAGCGTGGTTCAGTTGCGCTAGGCTCACTGTCTGAGACACGTTGTCACGGGCCGCTACTGAGGCGGCTGACAGCGTGGTCCAGCTCTGACAGCGTTGTCAAAGCCCGGCTAACGCAGACAATACGGAAAAATCACACGTGTCAGCATTTGATCGCTTATGCAGTTTACATTTTGGCCGTATCGCAGTACGGCATGGCGGATGTTCGGCGTCATTCGAGTCAGTCACTGGTAACGGCAAGTGACGAGCGATGCGGAAAGATACCCCTAAGTCATCCGGACATCGCTATGACTGTACACCTGGCCCTGAGCCCGAGGCTGGATTGGCTGAGCTGCTTCCTGAGGCAGCCACTATGCAATTGACTCGTGGGATTTTCCTGTTCCAGCCGCATGTCAGCCGCATCATTTAAATGATCGCCGATCCACACAGCCGGCTTGCGGTTCATCCCCAGCTCACTGTGCCGATCACCGCGGGACTCCACTGGTGGCCGTGCCACAGGCAGAGCGGCTAGTCCTCCTGACAGGTGGGCGATTAGCGATAAGTGTCATATGTCAAAATCAATTAGGAGCAAGCCTGTAGGCTGCTGACGAAGGCAATGAGAGGAGGAGTGCTGACGGCAGCATGCATGCGCGAGGCGATTTCCATGCATCAGATTCCTTTCGAAACTCCCCGGCTGCGCAAGATAAGCAACGGATAGGGCGAGCTGGAGCAATCGAAATCCCTCGAAATTTGTGTGACAAAATGAGCTGGCTAAACGCGGAGAAATGACAGTATGCTGTCCGGGAGAGCTGTCCGTACCAGCCAAGGTCGCGGCGTGACCCTTCGCTTCACTCTGACAGACCAGCACCCGCGTCAGCTGGCGGCACCTGCCACCGAGCGACGGGGGCCGGCTGCAGATGCGGCGCAGGGACGGACGAATAACGGCAGAGCCGTGAGGAACGGCGACCATGAGAACGTGTGGCGGTTCGCAGAGTTGGGCCACAAGTGGAAATTTGACGAACTGGCCTAGAGGTACACGCGTGTCCAACCAATATCTTCATGGAATATATTCTTAACCGGCACATGTTCCAAGACTTCGCCCAGTCTCGTAACTAATGTTCCCCAGGTGGGAGCCCAGTAGGATCATTGGAAGTTCTCCCAGCACTCTTCGTTGCTCATGGATTCAAAGTTCGAATGGGATCTGACAAGTCGCGTGCTCTCGGTTGAACGCACAAACCACTCGACTCGCCGCGTGTGACGCGAACTGGGACGCCTTCCAGCATGTCAAGTCTGCGTGCCGGGAGCTCTGTTAACACGCGTCAGGCTGCGGGGCCCCGCTAACGAACGGGACAGCTGCGCGGACATGCAGCGTGCGGTGGCCAGCAGCTGCTGCGGGTGCGTCTGTCCGCACCACCTCGCGATCCACATGGCCAACAACGCAGCCGAACGTCAGCCGGCATTACCCGTGACCCCCCCCCCCCCCCCCCCCCCACAAACGCCACGCCAGACAGTGGGGCTGGGCGAGCCAGGCGGTGTCTCACCGGCTCGGTCGCTGCGGCTGGCTCTGCGTCAGCCTTCTGGGCGTCGCCCTCGTCTGCCGCTTCGTCCTCCTTCTCCTCGGTCGCTTTCCCTGCGTCATCTCTACATTCCGCGGGCGGTTCCCCGTCCTTTCCATCCACGTCCTCGACGTTACTGTCATTGGCCACTTTGTCCTCTTTCTCATCGCATGGCTTGTCTTCAGCGCTCTCATCCGGCGCCTTGACTTCTTTCTCTGCCGCCACGTTTCCCTCTTTGTCGTCTGGCTCCTGGTCATCGTTCTCACCGGCTGCCTCGCCGTCTTTCTCACCGACCGCCTTGCTCGTCTGTTCCTCCACAGTTTGGTCCTTACCGTCCTCCGCCACCTCGCCCTTGCCCCCGTCAGTCAATTCGTTCACACCCTCGTCTGACATGTCGCACGTGATCGGTTGCACTGCACGTTCCGTGGTCGACCGGCACCGCTCCACTTCAAAGTCGCTCTCGTCTGGCAAGACTCGCCGGCTCGGCGACCTGGTTTATTTTGAAAATTTGGCATCGCCGCCGACTGGTGACGTCAGAGGATGGAGCGGCGGCGCCGGCGGTGGGGGTGCGAGCGAGCCCCTGCCGCCCCGCAGGTGGCTGCTGTCGTCGAGCTCGCCCCGAGCTGCGACCTACTGACGCTGGTGCCGACGGCGCCGGGCCGGATACAAATGGGGTCGCCGCTGGCTGACCGGCAGCGATAAGGCGATGGTAGCGGGCGGTCAGCGGAGCGGAATCGTAATGACCGGCGCCGGTGGCCGTGCCGAGGTGACAGACTGGCGGACGTAGCTGTCAGCTACCTTGTCGTGCTGAGCAGTGATGGCTGACGGCTGAGCCCGGCGGTCCGTCATCCTCGTTGTAATCAAGCAAGAGCTGGGTAGCATTGCAAGTCAATGTGACACGCTGTAACAGCACCAATGTCTCCTCTTCCGTTCGTTATGACAAACCTGCCGTCCATCCCGGCCTGATCATGACGCCCGCAGCAGGATGGGTTCAGACTTCATTATATCTATGGCCGTCCGCCTGACAAATTATCGGGAACTCTACGATCGATCCAGTTCTTCACAAGAACCCTTCCCTATCATCAGCTCCACCGTCCCTCCTGGTGTGTTACCATAATATTTTGCCATCGAGGCTTTACGACGCTCTCAGCTGCTGAGGCTATATGGTTCGCCTGCAGCGCTGTTGGTTCGCCTGCAGCGCCGGATATGGCAGCGCTGTTGCCGGCGGCCGGCCACCAGCACCAGCGGCCTGGCCCGCTGCGCCGGTGGTTAACGATCGCCGCCGGCCCGCTCGGGGGCCGGATATGGCAGCGCTGTTGCCGGCGGCCGGCCACCAGCACCAGCGGCCTGGCCCGCTGCGCCGGTGGTTAACGATCACCGCCGGCCCGCTGGGGGCCGGATATGGCAGCGCTGTTGCCGGCGGCCGGCCACCAGCCGGCTGCCAACAGCAACAGCGGCCGGTTCGATTGGTGGCGCGCGCGCCAGCCCCCGACCCCAGCCGCTGGCAGCGGCGCCCACCGTCGGGTGCCACTTCCGGGGCGCTGCGCCACGCACCGGCCGGTAGCCCGCTCCGTCCGCTAGCAAACGTCCCGAGTGACGACGGATTGTCGATAGCCATTAGCCACTAAAGCGATTTGGGGAAGGTGATGAGCTCACTGATGAAAGGTATCGTTACAGTTGTAAATGTCCTACCCCTCGGCGTTGGACACATATTGGCTCCAAACACAACATGCATCAAACCACAGCATCTGATACGATGAACTCGGAGACGTATATCTTATTAAGTCCAAATACTAATGACTGGCTGTAGTCCTTTGGACTAGTGCCCAAACACCAATACCGCATCCATTAGTCTTTGCATGAACTGAGCAATAAATTACTCAATCTGACACTTCGTGGCCACACAAAAATCCCACCAAGCAGCACTCCTTGCTCCTCTGACACGAAGTCGCACATCACACAGTGTGCGCGAGGAGCGAGGCGCCGCGGCGAGCCACAGCCACGCGCGGCGCCCACTCACCGATAAGGCCGAGGTGGCGACCGACATCTGGCCCTTCCACTGGCCGTCCTCGTCGCGCGACGTGCGGAACTGCGACCGCTGAGATCGGGTGCTCTGCGCGCACAGAGGCCCGCGTCAGTGCGGCTGGCACACACGGCCCGTCTCCGGCCGGCCGCTGCCAACGGGGTGACGACGGACACGTGAAGAGCGCAGCCCAGTTGGCAGCGGGCTGGGACAGATGGTCGTTGTTTTCGCGCCACGCCGAGGGAGCGTGACAAGCGATGCGGCACTGACGACGAAGCAAAAGTTAACGGGCTTGGCGCGGAGGGGAGGCGTGCAGTATGATCACCATGAGTGGCACTCAATGGCTGGTTTAAAGGCATTGGTCCACCCAACAATCATTTCGGAGTAACATGTGAGCTACAGCGCATGTTTATGATTGATTTACTGGCTTCATTTTTGACAACAATGTTATTTTAACGTTGTGATAGCAATACAAGGCGTGCGCTCAACAGAGGTCATATGAAAGGTGATTGCCATGTAGGTTTATTTTGACCATGACAAAGTTGTGCACCTTACTTTCGACCCGGCAGCGTGCGTAGCATCACGGTCCGTGACAACACGCGCAGGCTGTAATATTTTCGAATGTTCAGGGTTCGCTTAGGCTGAAAACCCCCTTTCTGCATGAAGCAATTTTGACCATTTTGAGGAAAACTATAATAAACTGCATTCTTGCCAGACTGAGTAGTCTTACTTACGTGACTGTCATGAAGCAAGCAACGACAGTTTTACATACCTTTGCGGCTTTTAAACCAAGGTAAAAAATACCGTTGAAACACGGATTAGAAACACGGTGAGAAACATAAGTCGTTTCCCCAAGCCGCTTAGGCCGCTTAAGCCGCTATCTCGAGTCAGCTAGCTGTCTTCAAGCAACATAACAGTTAAAATGGAACTTCACAGTCAGGCTGTCACCAGGCCTTCATCTGTGGCGATGGAATCGACTGAAGGCATATATTGCCGTTTTCAATAATTTGAGAATATGTGATGCTACGTACTCGCACACCGAAATGTGTGCTAGATCAACGAGTTCACCGAATAGGTTCAAAATCCAAACTGAATATTTTTTCTGAAAACACGTTGACAGATTTCATAACCAAGCCCTGGATCATGCATGGGTTGTCGATGCTGAGCGTTTGTTCATCTAGTAACCATGCTGTGTTCAAAACTATCACCAAACATCCAACATTCGGGGGCACACACCGGCCGAGTTGCACACCTTTCAAAGAACTCCCCATCTAACCAGCCTCCGAGCGTGCTCTGTGTCTCAGCGGGAGGCATCACCCCGCCGGCGGCCGGAGTTCGACCCAGGCGCCGGCTGTGGTACCCGGCGGCGGCGGCGGCGGCGGCGGCGGTGGCCCGGCCGGCTCGGCGTCTATATATACTGGCGGCGGTGCCGGGCGGCGACGGCTCCCCGGCGGCGTCACCGACACCGCCGCCGCAGCCGACACCGTCTCAGGCCGTCCGACAACGGCACACACGCCGCCGCCCGCCGCCGCCGGCCAATTAGCGGCCGGCAACATGCCGCCCTGTCAGCGGCCTGCCGGGGGCGCGCCGCCGGCCCGGCACCCTTCCGAACGCGCGGCGGCGGCGGCGGCGGCGGCGGGGGGCGGGGGGGGGCAGGTCAGGGGGGGGGGACTGGCGGATTCGAATGGGCCTCGCTTTGGACGTGCTTGGCATCTTTTGTGCATTTGGTCACGCATGGCCGTAAGGGCTGCGATCCAAGCGAAACCCAACCAAACCAAAAACTTACACGACACCTGTCTGAGATGGTTCATGGGATAATCCGCAATTCTCTGGAGGGAGATTCCACGTGGCAGAGATTGTTTACGTGACTGTTGAGAGCTACGGTTGACAAAAATGCTGGGAAAACACGCATAATATGCTATCGCATTGAAAACATGTACGGCGTTGTATAATGTGACTGAAAGTAGATCAGAAAGGCGTAACGGAGGCCTGCAAAGCTCTCTAAGCTTTTTATAGCATTTAGCACCTAAAATCCGGACACCGTGCAAGTGTGAAGCGTGAAGAATGACGCTCCTCGAGGTGCTTTGGCACCGGTCAAGGCGGCTGTAAAGATGTCAAGGGCTCGGCTCCGCCAGGAACTCACAGCTCGACCTTCGGAAGCATCGGAAGAAAATGACGTCTCCGTTATGACAGCCAACTGCGCAAACCATACAGTCGACGTTAAAAAGTTATCATAGTCAATTGATTCATACTGGATGGACAAACAGCTTGCACGCGCAAGCGTGAAATGCGCTTTTTTTCTAGCAGTAGTTGAATTTCAATTTAGGGCTAGTTAAAATAACGGGTGCGGTGACATAAGCCTTAAATGTTGACATGTTTACAGCGCTTAGCTTCCCTTCCAACCTTTTTTCAGTGACATCTGCGAGGGCCGAGAACGGTAGTTAACCTCGCCATCCCCTGCACATGGCCGCCAGCGGGCTGTGACAGGCCGGCGGGACGGGTCGTCTGGGGCTGCTCCACCAGGTCACGGCCGTGGGCCGGCCCGTGCCAGCGGCGGCGCGGCCCGCGCCAGTCAGCAGGGCGCCGTGACAGCGGCCCTGACCTCGGGGCGGCCCTGACCTCGGGGCGGCCCTGACCTCGGGGCGGCCCTGACCTCGGGGCGGCCCTGACCTCGGGACGGCCCTGACCTCGGGACGGCCCTGACCTCGGGACGGCCCTGACCTCGGGGCGGCCCTGACCTCGGGGCGGCGCTGACCTCGGGGCGGCGCTGACCTCGGGGCGGCCCTGACCTCGGGGCGGCCCTGACCTCGGGGCGGCCCTGACCTCGGGGCGGCCCTGACCTTGGGGCGGCGCCGGCCGGGCACCCGGCGCCGTCCCAGGACGGAGCACCGTGTGCCGCCGATGGAGAGGCGCCGCCGCCGCCGCCACTGACGCTAACCACGCCCGCACGCCCAGCCTGACAGATGGGAGCTCGGCCTGAGCGAAGGGGCAGGGAATGAGCTCGACATTTGAAACGCATTGTTCTGTGTGGCTTTTGGCACTGATGCTCAGCGCATATTTGAAGATTTTTTACAAGTCTTTTTATCTCCTCTATACCAAGTCATTCTCAGAATGCCAACGCCCAGGGGCATTGCGTGCTGTTCTTATCAGAGTCAAAATATAAGCCAGGGCGTCCGAGGCCATCAGTCAGAACGGAATCATCTCTGGGTGACGGAGGCGTGGGGACGATGAGCATCAGCCTCTCTGGATAACTTCAACACTTAAACTGTGATGTTGCATGGCAGACAACGACATATGAACGGCAGTCACCCTTTCCACGTCTCCCCAAACGGGGCTCATAGTTGCCGGAACCAGCGCGTGCTCTCCGCCTCTCAGGTATTTCTCGCGTCAGTATTCTGCTCGGCTCCACAGATGCTCGCTCGGCCTGGGTTGACTGGCGGCTGCTTACCGCGGTGGGTGTGCGTCCCGTGCCGCCCGAGACCATGTTCTGGCTGCTGGAGGTCTGTGCCATCATCGACTCCATGCCGGTCATCATGACCTGGGCGCCCAGGAACTTGTTCAGGAGAGAGCGTGCTTCGTTGTCCTGGAGAGGCCACTTCTGGAAAAACGGAGACGCATCAGCATATGAGAGAGTTGGCTGCAGTGGCTGGGGCGAGCTGCGTTGAACACAACCGCTACAAACTATAGGGCGATAAAAGAGCCCTACGCTGTTTAACGTGACGGTCATACGGCTCAGTTTTAAGGTATGTGGAAAGTCATATGACGTTCCCTCGCCACACGGGCAACACCACTTCTGAACGCAAACATTCGCGCTAGCAGGGAACAAGATTTCACACTTCAGTAATCCCGACTCTCTGGCAAAAAAGACAGTCTCACAACACCGCAGTCATTAATCTGCCCGTCTCCTCAACCTAGACTGCAGACTCTGCCAAGGACACGTCAAGTCAAGACCCAACGCGGGGGGGGGGGGTGTTGGGGGTCACTGACCTGTGTTCGAGGCGTCCATCCTGGTGAGCACGTCGCGTATGCCGGTGACCTTGGACCGGTTGTCGAGGAAGGAGGAGCGGTCGCTGGCCGCTGCGGAGGGCGAGGACCGGCCGCGCGGGCTGCCCGAGCCGTCCGAGGCGGCGGGGGACGCGTCCACGGTGGCCGGGACGGCATCGACTGCAGCAGGCGCTCTGGCGGGCCGGGACACAGCAGCGACGTGAACATGGTGGCTGCGCGCGACACCAGTCTGTCCACGCGCACCCCCACCCGCACACGCAGACACGCGGGACACCCAGCGGGGCGGCGCGCCCGAGCACTGAGCTGAAAAGGCGGCGGCAACCTCTGACCAGGGGCGACTGGCGCCGCAGCCTTGATCCTGACAGTCGGACCAAGGTCGGTCGGACGATCGCCGGGCACCAGCCGCCCTACAGCCACTCCGGACTGTCGTCCGGCCGGAGCGCTGCCGCCAGCGTGATCCGGGCACCAGCTCACAGTCACTCCGAGTACGATCCGCCGAGCACCGCTGCCCGAGCTCTGGGCCCGCCACACCAGCTGCCCTACAGCCCCACTCTAGTCGATCCGGCGGGCACCATGGCTCAACTGGTAGCCAGACAGATGCATGGCTCAACTGGTAACCAGACAGATGCATGGCTCAACTGGTAACCGCGGCGCCATGACAGATGCCCTTTATTGACACAGGGGACGAAGACGTTCAGATGCCGCATGGCCTACAGCAGTCGATGCGCCCTGAACCCCACCCCCGAAGACGTTCAGGTGATGTCCGCCACTGTCTATAACGTGGTGACTGCGTATCCCGTGTGGGCATACCACATGATCACTGCCGACTGAGCAGACAACGCGTTTTGAAGAGATGTGATTGTGATTGTCTATATCTCAATTAATTCTGGAATCAATCGTCGGGGTCGCGCCGCCAGTGACACCTTTCGCAGTGCTCCACTGGCACTGTAATCATTCGACCGGGCTGCAATCTTGTCCTCTTTGCCGGTCTGCAGGGTTGTCGGGCATTGACGGAATGGCTGCTTCAGGCCAAATTTGTACTCTATACACCAATGGTAACGCTGTGCAACAGTCCACAAACGTTAACCGTACTAACATCGAGCTAAAACTGCTAAGGCTTCATACATGAGCCTTCTTTGTGTATTACCAAAACCGCTATTTGTTTTTGTCTTATAAGATCTGACAACATATGCAGGGGCTTGTCATGCCTGATCTACATAATACCTTTTCATCTGCCTTCTTGGGCAAACGTTGTTTAACTTGGAAGAGGTAAAAAGGCAGCACTCCATTCATGACCGGCCAGAGCACTCTACCTGATTTCAAATCAAACAGCAATGGACGCAAACGACCAGCAAACATCCGTTTAACCTCATCCAAAGGCGAGGCACCTCGCTCCCCTCCCCGTTCTCCACTCCGCGGTCTGCCTCGCCACGACCAACTCGGTCTCCACCCCGGAATCTCACTCAACGCCGGCCTTCGCCGCAGCTACTGACCTCTGTCGGTCGTCTGCAGCTTTCTGCGGATGGTCGTCGGGTGGCACCACGTGTCGCGTGGTTCGCTGCTCGCCGCGAGGGGCGCTGGTGCTGCCATTGCCAGGGGTCATCTTCCGCAGCGGAATACGGGAGTCTGACGGCGGTAAACAGGCCGATTACTCTCCGTCAACATGCACTTCTGAACGTCTCGGCAGACGTTACAGATGAAGATCGATCGGGCTCGCGGACGCCCAAGGTCTCGGGCGCCCTGTTGAGCGGGCGATGGCACAGATCGGCACAAACAGCGCGGCTTTCGCTAGTCCACGCTCGGGCTGGATCGCTGCGAAGCAGCCGGAACTCATACAAATCCGATCAAGCTGAAATATCAAAGCAAACGCTGCACTGAGACGTCGGCTGATTTTGCACTGGGATGGCGGCTGACCACGCATCGAATGTCAATCATACGATAGCGTTCAAAAGGAAATAAGGCACAGAGAATCCCCGCAATATGAAAATCACATGTCAGAAAAGGGAGATGCGTGATGTCTTTGTAAATGGACCGATAAACTCAACACTCAAAGAAACTCAACAGGCAAGAAACGCATCACCAATTATCATCCAACCAACCAATCGTCCAATCAAGCAATCAACCAGTCAATCATCATTCTAAAACATGCTTTATGCTGGTGGGTACAGCCCAGCAGAGCACGCGTCCTAGCGTGGGTGCACAGGGCTGCCTCCCGCAGGCTCAACAGCCACTGACCGTCATCGTCTCTGGCCTTGGCAGGGCTGCGTCTGCCGAAGCGACCGCCCGAGCCCCTGCGCTGCACCATCGGACTCTTAGTCTGGATCAGAGTGCTGGGTGGGGAGCCATCTGCAACACGGAGGGATGGAGCTGGGTTAGACACGGCGGTGGAGCTGGGTCAGACACCACAATGGAGCCGGGTCAGACACGGCTCCGAATTGGGTCAGACACGGCGCCAGAACCGGGTCAGACACGGCTGCCGAGCTGGGTCAGACACGGCTACCGAGCTGGGTCAGACACGGCGCCGGAGCTGGGCCAGACACGGCGCCGGAGCTGGGTCACACACGGCGCCGGAGCTGGGTCACACACGGCGCCGGAGCTGCGTCAGACACGGCTACCCAGCTGGGTCAGACAAGGCGCCAGAGCTGGGTCAGACACGGCTACCGAGCTGGGTCACACACGGCGCCGGAGCTGGGTCAGACACGGCTTCCGAGCTGGGTCACACACGGCGCCGGAGCTGCGTCAGACACGGCTACCGAGCTGGGTCGGGACACGGCTACCGAGCGTGGGTGGACACGGCTACCGAGCTGGGTCGGACACGGCTACCGAGCTGGGTCATACACGGCGCCGGAGCTGGGTCAGCCACGGCTACCGAGCCGGGTCAGACACAGCTCCGAATTGGGTAGGACACGGCGCCGGAGCTGGGTCAGCCACGGCTACCGAGCTGGGTCACACACGGCGCTGGAGCTGGGTCAGACGCGGCGCTGGAGCTGGGCCAGACACGGCTACCGAGCTAAGTCACACACGGCGCCGGAGCTGGGTCAGACGCGGCGGTCGCCGGCACCCGGGGGTTCACCGCGCCAGGCCAACCGCGCACGCTGGCGATGCCTCGTCATCGTGAGCGTGTTTCCCAGCCACGTCGCGTTTGTTTTCGCGACGCAGGCAATAGGTGGGGCGAGCCGCCGCTGGCTGGGGGTGTTTGTGTGATGATGCCTGGTGCGAGACGCGGCGGCGGTCTTCCCTCCCGCACCCAGTCATCACGGGGAAAACGCAACAGATGCAACAGCAAGTCCATGCAATCAAAGTGCTGGTAATGGTAGGCTTGGTTCCACGAGCTTGCCACTTGATGAAAGGGCAGCGTAAGCACGATTTGCGGTTCGCAAAACGAGCCCGTGTTGATGTCCAGGGGTTGGTTCCGTCCAGGCACATGCACACGATAACGGCCAGGATGTCTGACAATGATCCCGACGACCTAACAAAGACACTAGCCGCGGAAAAGAACGCACCTGCAGGATATGCGCTTCAGCGCGTTACAGTAACCTCCACAGCAGTTCTCAGCACAGGTTCTGCAAATTTTGCGGTGACCTCTCACAGGTCGTCGTGAGCCAGTTACAGTCGATGACGCCACGCCTTCCGTGAATCCGCCGCCGCTTCCCCCAGATCGTTCACCACGCATCGAACCTGAGGCGCGCCTGTGGATGTGGGAATATTCTGGCCCCCGCCGAGACAATTATGCGGTTCCGGTGCCCAGTTCCCAGCTGCGTGGGAGTCCGATGAATTATACTACCCACCCGAGTGAACCGTAGAGCTGGACACACCGGCGCCCTGTCAGCGCGAAATAATGTCTCGAACTGTTATAACACGCGTGTGCTGTCGGTCGGATTTGTGGCCAAGCACGACGTGCTGAGAAGCGACAAAATCTGTCCGCATTATGACAGCTAACCACGCGGTGTTTCGCGGCCCAGTCTGCAACCTCAGATTCCGTGGTGATACGTCTCAACACGAGCAGACCTTTGCAGCCATAACGGCTTATGTGATTAATCCACACGGAGGAGCGAGCTTTCGCTAAATCACCGTAATGCTGAGGTACGCCGATCACTCATGTACCAATTACCTCACATTGCTGCACGCTACAGCGGTGTCCCAGCCACCGCCTGTGGTGCTCCATCGCGTAGAATTCAGATCAGCCAGTGCAGACTTTTTAGCGTCTCGTCAGTAACCGCCTGCGATGTCGAAGACCTCAGCCCATAAAAAGCGCATCCCAAGTCACACTGGCGGCTGCGTCAAACCGGTCCTGAGTCCTGACCAGATGACGGGTCGTCGCTGACCTCACAAAAACACCGGCACGGCTCAGAGTCGCGGCGCCAAAAACGTGTCACCTGAGTTAGCTGGATACGACACTCGGGTGAATAGAACAGTCTCCCCTAGACTGGCACGACACAGCTCACTTGTCGACATCGTCAGCGCTGGATGTTCAACTGGGGCTTTACCATCGACTGCCATTCCGACGATTTATTATCTGGCATCTTTTTTATGCCGTCGTTTTTCCTCGTTACGTTTCCGCATGCTTTCATTCCAGTCTCCCTCGGCGCTCAAAGCCCCCCCCCCCCTCCCAACGGCACAGCCCACCTTCCAACCCTCCTCCCCTCGCGTTCCCCTGGCACCCCGGCCAGACGTGCGCCGACCCCTTCCAATCATGCGAATTCACCGGCCGGGTGGGGCCGGGTCGGGCCGGGTCGGGCCGGGTCGGGCCGGGCCGGGCCGGGCCGGATCGGGCCGGGCCGGCGCTAACGAAGACTGTCACCGGCGCGCGGGGCCGCCGCACCGCGCCTGACCGGCCGTTAGTGGCGGGACCGGCACCGCCTCGGCGCTCCTGCGGGCACTCCGAACCGGTCCGGCGCGGCGCCTCCTGCCGCCGCCGCCTGACCCGCGCCGCACTGCAGGTGTAGCGCAGGCCGCGCGCCGACCGGCCGCGGCCGCGCCGCCGGAGGTCAGTACGGCACGGCCCGGCCGGCGAGCAGCACGGCCGGTAGCCGGCGTCCGGCACGGGGGCATCCGCGGCACGCCGCCGCCCGCGGACCTGACGCAACGGTCGGCTGTGGGAGCGGCGCGGCCGGCAGCTCCGCCGACCGGCGCCAGCTCGAGCCGGTCGTCTGCCAGACAGTTGCGTGATAGGCCCGGTCCGCTGACTGCCAGTCATGTGTACGTTTTGGTGAGCGCTCCCCGCTGCTGCCTGCTCGTTAAATCACGGGCTTGCAAAGCGGAGCCAGATCAGCCAAACGAGCTGATTTTGGCGCCGAACGGAAGTTTTACTGGGAGAAGAGGGTTTACGCGTGTCCTGTCTCGAGGAGACACCTGACAGCGGATGCACCACATTCTTTGCAAGAATTCCCACAATGCCGTGGTATTGCATTGCAAGACAAAAAGGCATTTGTATCAGCATGTCGGCCCGCGTCGTCATGTTCCTGTCATGCACGTGACTTGTCCACACGTCCAGCCAGCGGAAAAAGCCTCGTGCAGTGCCTTGCATCCGTGGAATTTTAAGTCCTTTTATGTCTGGCGGTCTTCACCCTGCCCTTTTGTATCCTGACTGGAGTAAGCCATGGATTTACAGTGCATCTCTGGTTTCCTTCAGAGCGCACGCACATTTCGCCTTGCATTAGGGCAGTGACCGGCTAGAGCACATTTGTACCCAGTGACATCCCATGACCCGCACTACGCCTGTGAATGTCACATATTGCCGCCCTCACACCCATGTGTGCCGACGTGACACTCAAACTGCGCGGCCCGCGTGCTTATCCCCGGCGGCGGCGCCAGTGACGCCCGCGTGCCGCAGAGACGGCGCCGATGAGCGCGCTCTACCTGAGTGTTTCCGCTTCTGGCGGTCCATGGCGCTGTCGTAGATCAGCATCCTGTCGCGGATGGAGGAGGCGATCTCGCGCGGCTGCACGACCATTCTGTCGCCCTGCGCTGTTCCGGCCGCAGCGCACAGCACCTCAACACAGACGCCGTCGGCCCGGCGCGCCGGGCGAGGCTCGGAGTCCAGCGGCCTCCGGCGGAGCGGAGCTACAGCTTAGCACGAACACGGCCGCTCGGACGTCCTCCGACGCTCACAGGGCTGGTCCTCCCACGCGCCGCTCGTCCCGCCGGCCCGCGCCGACTCTGCAGAGGGGAGCGCCGCTGCCGTGCCGCTCCACCCAGCCGCCGCCGCAGCACTGCGGCCGGCCGGCGCGCGCTGCCGGGCCGCCGGCCGCCCGGGAGCCGACGGCGCGGCCGATCCCGGCGACGGTAGGCGGCCGCGCGCCGGCGACACGCGACCTCCGCGAGGGGATCCCCTGCCTGTATGTCGAGTGAGACTGCACTCATTGATTAGCATGGAGCCAAAATACGCAGGGATCGGATATATAAATGCTCTGTAAAAAGGGAAGGATTTTATGTCTCCCATACTCTGGGTACCGTTGGGCGGAGGTACTCCAGAGCCCCCCACCCCACAACCCCCCCCCCCCCCCCCCCCCCCCCCCAGCTTGTGTTGATGTAAGTAATAAATCCGCGTCTTCCGCTCCCTTGAGCTTGGAAAGATGGAATGAACTGGTGTTTAGGCATGTCATTTAGCGTTTCATGGCACGGCTTATGGTCACGAAGTATCGCAAGTATCACAGGAGGAAACGAATTCCTTATCAAGGGTACTGGCCATATGGCTAAGGAAGAAAAGGCTCGCGGATTTCCGAAGACTGGCCGCGTTGTGACAAGGTTCGTGCCCTGAAATTCTCTAGAACATGACTTTACAGCACCAGACTGGTTTCACCGGTCATGACCTGGATCCGGATGAGACAGCTAGGGCGCGTGTCATATTTGGCAAAGTTTCGGCATTGGCCTCAGAGCGAACAATTTGCAGGCTGCAGGAAAGAGCCAGATGTCACCTGTTTCCATACCTGGTTCGGCCAGACGCAACCGGCTTGACCGGAAGTTTAACACAGGCACAGATCCGCCCAAGACCCGAGCTCTGCACACACGGACCCCGGCCGAGATCAGACGGCTGCAACTATTTTACCCGTATCACGGCATTCAGTGATATACCTGCTCATCGGTGGCAGAGTTTGCCGCCCACCGAACGTGCTCTTTTGCTGCCTGCTCTCACCAACAAGAATGGTATGCAGGGCTGAAGCGACGTCGGGGCTTTTAGCGCGAAATGATCGGAATGCACCGTCTTCACGAAATGATAAAAGGCAGTGCAGTGTCACTGCGTCACGTGTGCAGAGGCACCGGAGTTGGTCATTTCAGCAGGAGGCCAGGGTTGTCTGGCTCCGCCGCGCTTGTCTCCCACCACCGGGCGGCATCTTTG